ACACAGCCAGTTTATCCAGATAACTATTTTAGAGAGTGGAACTTCTTTATTTTTAAAAAGCTAACCCATGGTTTTGAATTAGAATAGACTTACACACATGCATGCATACACAGCTCAGCGAGACAGCATCCTTCTAACCCAGCACTTCTTTTTCTGATAAGCTCAATCTCCCAAGAGACAAGTGCCTGTCAAAGACTTTGTCCAAACAACAAGAAATATGTGTGGGGAAAAAAAACCAAATGCCTCTCCATCACTGCTCATCAATCCATCTCGTTGTGAATTCATTATTTATTTATGGAACTTTAAAGCGCGTTATTTGAATAATGCGGGGTATGACGAAGGGGGAGCTCTACGAAAACAACAAAATGACAACCACACCAAAACCACCCCAGGGCACATGGCAACACATCGCATCAGTGTCATCCTTCCTCGCTTTGCCCCTGTGGGCTCACTGCTCAGCAGGTAGCCACACACACACACACACACACACACACACACACACACATTAACACTTCCTATATAACATTCTAAAACATAAACCTAAACCATAAACCTTATAAATTTGCTTTCTTGCACAGATGCTCTAAAAACACTGAGTCAATCTTCTGATAGACAAATATAGACTGTACACAAACTTACTTTCACTTTCTCCTACACACACAGACACACAACCACCTACACACAGACATATGCACCACACCCTCAGGCCCTGGAGACGGCAGCAGTGGAAGCAGTGGCATCAGCGGTCTGATAGATGGATCCTGTCTCCTTGTGATCTCCACTTGTCAGACAAGCGTCACACAAAGCCCAAACACAAATCAAAAAAACACAGGTATGGGGCACATGTCAGTTTGATAGGACCTCATGGATGCCCCCCCATCCATCAGCGGCTAAGATGCTCATCCATCGACTTGGAATGAGGGTGTTAACTGGTGAGTGTTTTGGGGTATTGGTGTATCTGGTTTGAAGACTAATGGGTTGAATAGGTTGTGTTTGGTTTATGCTGTTAGTGCCGTTATCTTGAGCTTTGTTGTCAGTGAGAAAACAGATAGACAGGGCATTAATAGTCGTTTTGGAACGGCCAGAGTTCCACTTTGATTTTAGCCCAAAAAGCAGCAGTGGCTAAGAAATCAGCAACCACCTCCATTCCCTACAACCTGAACACACACACACTTTTGTGTACATAAATTCTTACTTACGCATGATGCTACAATAACTTTTGCTTCCACTTGTGGATTTGTCCCCCCACACCTAGCAACTGCTGTTCACTTATTCACTTAAAACCTGAATGTCACAGGCAAACCACTAAGACAGCTAACTTATCCAACAACACAGTACCCCCCCCCCCCCCCCCCACCACCCCCCACCACCCCTCCACTTGTCGGGCAAGAACAGCCCAAACCAGACCAAAACAAAAAACGAGGGAGAAGCCCACCTTTTGTTTACTATTCTCAAAGGTGGATCACGGGCCAGGCTGGGTAAGGGATTGTGACAGAGGTGATGTCTAAATTAATCATTCATGCTCTTTCACATGGGCTACAGTAACAGCTCTGAAATATTAATGACAGCTGCAGAATAAATTTGATTCCCTTTTCTCTCTGATTATAATCCACAGGCGTGCTCACACACATGTTTATTTATGCCCTGGAGATGAGGTTTGGGGTCACTATCAGGAGTTTGTCTGCACACATAGGCACACACACACTCTTTCCCTCTCCCGCTTGCCACTCGCTCTTGTGTACCACCTCATTGTTTTGGAATATGTACATATTTTTCACGTGTGGTGGGCGAGTGGGCTATACATTATACATTATATGCTTGTTCCGTCTAGGTATGATATACTGAATGAATACTATGCAGCTGGCAGACAGGTTTTTTTCCCGTGTTATTTTAATTAGGTGAGGGGCTTTTTTGTACTTTTTTGGAGAGCATGACCTGAGTGGAGAAAAGAGGGTGTAGGATGTGTTGCGGTGTTCCCACCTCTAGGTGGAAATTCAACTTCCAGTCTTGAAGTAATCTGACTTGCAAACTGAGACACTCCTCTGTTCAGGTCATGCCATTTTTGGATTTAGTAACTCCACTGTTTTCTTGGGGAGGGATTGTCAGTTTCACAGTGGTAAAACAACTCAAAGCAAATGCTTTAAGTTATTTAAGCTAAGGTTTTTTTATCAAGTCATAAACATGACTGAATAGTCACTAGATATGACCTATCCTTGGAAGTAAGTATGCTAAGTTTTCTGTGTAGTATAGCTAAGTCAGCTATCAAGATGACCTATTTCTTGGCTTTGGCCACTTGATAACTCAGAGAAGAGTGAAGGTTGTCTGTCGTACAATGTCTTCGGATTTTGTTTTTCCCATCTCAGACATCATTGCTGTAACCCTAACTCACAGCAACATCACCTGGGCTTGGTGCACAGATAACTATCAGCTGTTTATGTCTCAACATGTCACTGGAGATCTCTGTCACCTCCTTGTATCCCTCCTTCCTTCTCTTCGACCTTTGCTTCCTTTTCTGTAATGAGGAATACAGAATGAACCAACAGCATAGAAACCCAAGTTATTTATCAAAAAAAGCTTGTACAGAAATCGGAGTTTCTCCCTGTTTCTGGCAAGAATATAAACAGACAGCAGCCCCACAAAAACTCATTGTAGACATTAAATATTTCTAACTAATTAGGTGCTTGTTAGGTCAAAATATCAGAAAAAGTTTGGTTGAGCAGCACTTGAGCTTTGAGCAGTCTTTTCAGTTTTACTGGTTGGTCTCAGTAAATTCCTCTCATCAGTGATGTTGTAGAAGCCTTTATGTAAAAGGTTTCCATGTAGGTTTGCTTTTATCCCTGTTGTTTGTCTCCTTTGGCCCTTGTTTGGACAATTAAGCAAGCGATGGGCCTAATTGCACATCATTCAGTTGTCATCTCCTCTCAGGAGACGGACTCATGAGCAAAACTCGTCTGTCAACTCCCCAAGTTTGCTCATTTAAATTCATCGTGGTGAGCTAATACTGTTGTCAAGCCCATCTTCTCACACGCTGTTCATGTTTCAAAGATCATTTGACTACTATTTAGAGTTAAAAATAAACAAAGAGGTTTAGGTCTGATTTGATGTACCGTATTTGGCATCAGTCCCTGTGGGTTAATTTCTCTCTTTAGTTAGATCCACCAAACATATTCACGCTGATTTGAATTGGTTTCTAACCTTGCTTGAGAGAAGCCTGTGCTTTTCTTCATGACACCATATGGACATTGATTTTTAGCTTACAAGGCTGTCAGGTAATTTCAGGCTAATCTATTTTAATATTGTTATATTATTTCATTCCCTGTGGAGTTATGCTCAGTCATGTGTTTATGTTTATATTAAGGCTATGTATAACTAAGATGTGGTGTATCATTTAATCTGTTTTGGTTGTGTTTAGCCTTGTCTGGCTCTGCCACAGTGTGCTTGCCACTGTGACATGACAGCGGCCACAACGTCATGCTCTGTTTGAGGTAGAAAATATCAGTCAAGAAATGTTTTCTTTCTTTTTTTCTGTGCAAGCAGGCATGCACACAATTTCACATGTCTGATGGAGTGTATGTGAGTATTTTGTACATGAATATTTGTGCGTTGATGTGTGTATTTGTATATTTATGTGTGTGTGATCCTAATGATGCTTTCCTCCTCTACTCTATTGGGCTGTCAGCACGGTGCTGGTGACTGTCACACACACCGGCCCCCCTCCAAATCTTGCTGAGATAGGTCATTTTTCAGTGTCAGGACAGACAATTCACATTGGCACCAGATAGATCAGGGACACGTTGGACTCGTTATTCTCTGTTTGCATATGTCTGCTTCATACAGATATACAAGTCGACGTGCACAGAAGGCTTGAGCTGAAAACCTATTGCACTTCTCGGTGCTTTGTTATCTAGCTTAGCC